ATGCCGTGGTAAACAACCACCTACCACGACCAAAACGAATACCTTAGGGTTACATTTGACCACGTCTACAATCATGCCAAATTCTCACTAGTCTCCTCCACCCGCTATTTTACACCAGGAGCAAAGTGACCCTAAGACACAAGCACCACATTTGCAAAGCTTGCGTAAAACCTATCATGTCTTACGCAAGTGTAGCCTTCGCGCAGGCGGATCGTGGTCATTTATTCGATCTCCAAGTCGTCCTAAATAGTTTTATTCGCGTAGCCATCGGAACTCGGTGATACCAGCAAAACTCCGACTTGCACAGAGATTGTCAACTAGGATTTCGGAATATTTCAAGGAAGTGTCTCAGCGCTACTTTGAGAGGGTCGAAATACATACCAAGCCGCTAGTGGTAAACGCAGCCACCTACGCTCAGACTCCAAACGTTACGGAAAGTCTTCGGAAGCCACTTAACGTTCTAATCGCAACCCAAGTTCTGCTAGATTTCGATGACCCAAATGTTGCCGGTCAGTCACACACGAACACTACACACCCACCCAGTGCAAAAAAACACTCCACTCCACACCGGTACACATCGTACACCCGCGTCCCTGGGCGCATCTCACTGCCTAGAACATCGAACGATATCAGTTAGACGTCAGGTACTGGGGCCCGCCACCCCCTGCTCAGATGGCCGCTAGATCACTCACACACGTGCACTGCACACTGTCGTAGGAGTCAAGTCATAGTTAGGCCAGTAATCGCCTGAAAGGCGCTGAGACCGATGAAACTGTAAAAGCCAAAAGGCAACAGCATTATAGTTACAACTATATTATAATTTCAACACTAATGGGTTCTCTTACTAGTGAGTTCATGCTCTCGCGGAATATCAGCGTAAAATATCAGCTCACTGCTGTGTTTCGTATGGTTAGTGTAGGAAACCAGAGATCCTTTTTATTGGTAACAGTCGACGACCTGACGATAAAAGATTATCGCGGCCATTTTAGTCCTCAGGGGTGACAACGCATCTATATTTTGATTTTTGATCGAGAATATATGTGGATATCTAGATCTATAGGCCACAGCATCCATTTACCATCAGATGGACTGTGACTCTGTTTGTCACGCTTATAACAAAACAAATAAGCCCCGTTTGCGGGATGTAATCGAAAATCTAATATATTTCATCATTTTAGTGTACTGAACCAGATTTTAAGCTATCCATAGATCTAGAAGCAGCTCCAAGAAGCCATACTGCTTTATTACTTACTTACTTACTTACTTATCTTCACGCACAATCCCTAACGGGGTAGCCAGAGAGAACAGATCGCCAAGTGTCACGATCCTTACATACCTCTTTCGCTTCTTTCAGGTTCATTAACTTCTTCATACATGCACGTCTAGGTATCCGAGTACTCTTGACCCTCCCCTCTTCGAGCAATTTGCTCACATGGTCTTCGAAAGTTAGTCTCGGTCTACCTCGACACCTTTTAATATTTACTTTCGCTCTATATATTTTCTTCACCATTCGGTCTTCACTCATTCGTTCAACGTGCCCAAACCATTGGAGTACGCCCCTATCAATTTTTGTGATAAGGTCATCTTTCAATCCTGCCATATTGCGAATCTCTTCGTTTCGCTTTCGGTCGGCTAAGGTAACGCCACACATTTTACGAAGAGATCGCATCTCCACTGCATTCAACTTGCTTTTATGCTTCTTCTGGCATACCCAGGTTTCGCTGCCATATAACAAAGTCGGTACCAACACTGCATTATGTATTGCAAGGCATGCACTCTTCACCACGCCTTGCCTTTTTTACTAATGCATTCAGGGCACCATTGACTTTGTTTCCGGCAGCGACACGCCTATCCACATCTAAATCACATCTTCCATCCCGGCTGAAAGCACTCCCCAAGTATACAATTTCATTTACCTGTTCTAGACATTCCTGATTTACCCATATTTCACATTTCGTTCTCTCTTCGTCCTTTTCAAATACCAGAACCTTAGTTTTATTAGCATTCAAACGGAGACCTTTAATTTCACATTCCTCTTTCATACACGTGACTAATGCCTGCAGTTCTGCTTCTGATGGTGCAATAAGCACTGCATCATCAGCATACAGCGGACAATTAACTTTAATGTCACCCAATTTCACACCTAAACAGCTATTTTTCAGCTTCTGTAAACAGCTGTCGAGATACAGTATGAACAGCCAGGAAGACATGACACAACCCTGTTTTACGCCCGCTTGGACGCTGAACATGGGTGACAGGTCATGCCCTACCCGCACACAGGCTTTACAGTCATAGTAAAGTGACTGCACAGCCCTTAACAATTGACCATCCACACCATATCCCGGCAACAGTTCCCACATTTTCTTCCTTATAACCTTATCAAATGCTTTCTCCAGATCCACAAAAGCACAGAAAATCTTCTGGTTAACACTTAGAAGCTTCTCCGTAATCATGCGGAGAGAAAACATTTGATCCGTGCATCCTCTTCCAGGTCTAAATCCGCATTGTGCCTCCCATAAGAATCTTTCCGATTTCTCTTGCATCCTACGTGTCAAAACCTTCGAGTAAACTTTACTTGCTAAACTGGTCAAGCTGATCACCCGATAGCACCCGCAGTCAAAATGTGAACCTTTACCTTTATATAAAGGCACAATGACCGCGGATCGCCAATCATCCGAGACATCTCCCGTCCGCCAGCACAAATTGCACAGCAGATGGAAGCTGTCCCAGACGCGAGGCCCACCGTACTTGACCATTTCAGCAGTAACTCTGTCTAGTCCCGCAGCCTTACCACATTTCAAACTTCGAATCGCACGTTCAATCTCTTTCATGCTGATGACCTCAGTGTCATCGAGGTCCGTGTCTGGCGTGCCAGTCACGGCGTCACCCCCGGATCCTTCACTAAGATCATGACACGCATACATTTATCTGTAAAATTCACTCCATCGCTGCATGACGTCCGATTTTTCTGAGAGGACGTCATTGGTTCTCGAAAGCACTTTGTTCATTCTTAAGGCTGTCGCACCACTCCGGGACCTTCCAACCTCTTTCCAGAAGAGTTTGGAGTTTTCCCTAAAGTTGTGCGACAACCTCTCGTCCGCTTCTATTCTACACCTTTCACGTACTTCCTCAATCAATGTTTTCGCATGAACTTTCTGCAGCTTATATCTTTCTTTCATTTTCTCTCTCATATGCTCATCGTTACTAGAGGCCAAGTAGTCTAACCATGCTTTTTTCTTCTTTTTTTACAGCTTCTCTCACTTCATCATTCCACCATGCATCTCTTCTTTTACTACTACCTCTTTTTGTCGTACCACATACTTCTTCCGCTGCACTTACCATTCCATCCCTAAGGTTCTGCCATGTTCTCTCCACACATTCTTTCCTGCCATCGATGGTGTCAAGCTTTTCGGCTACCCTCGTGTGATATTTGTTCCTAGTATCCGCTTCCTGAAGTTTCCAGCTTCGGATGCGACAGACCGACTGTGGTTCTGTTACTGCCGTCCGGTAGCGCCAACCCGCGAACAAACCCCTAAATCTAGTAATTACTAGATAATGATCCGTTCCCAGGTCAGCACCCCTGAACACTCGTGTATCCATCACCTGTTTTCGCAGTCGGTCATCCACCAGGAACAAATCAATCATACTTCTCTCATTCTTCCTTTCTCTAGTGTACATATGGATTTTCCAGTGATTAAACATAGTGTTTGTCACAAGAAGACCCTTTTCCTTGCATACAGCCAGTATAAGCTTGCCAGCATCATTAACCCTTTTATCGCCAAACTTTCCAAGCACCGACTCGTATCCTGGTTAAGCGATACCTACCCATCCATTCAAATCACCACATACAACAGTTCTTTCGTTTCCCTTAACCAAATCTAGAACTTCTCTTACATTCTCCCAAAACTCCTCCAGCTCAGCCCTGGACGATGAAGCTACCGGCGCATAAACAGCCAAAATGAATAACTTCGTCAGTCCCATTTTGAAGCGAACCCAGAGAAGTCTTGAGTTCACAACCTTGTATTCAGTCATAAGATCGACCAACCGGGACGACAACAGCACTCCCACTCCCTGGCAGGCGTTCTCGCTTTCCGGGACTCCGGACCATATAGCTAACGTCCCGCCAGGGAGCTCTTCAGTACCACTGCCTTTCCGTTTGGTCTCCGACATACACACGACATCTAATTCTCTTTCTTTCATTATTTCGATCAACTCATTTGTCTTATCTCTCATTCCCTCTCTAACATTCCACGTGTCAACTCTGCACTCCGTCCTCCACCTTCCGCCTTGTCGGGCTGTGCGTGACGGGTGGCGGTCCCCATCGCCGCTTTGCGCGCTGCATTCCACACCAACGGGCACGAGCTGGTGTGCGTCGCCTTGGGGGGACGCCCTAACCCTCGTTTGCATGGGTGCGCAGCTGTGTAGAATTGCAGCCCTGAAAAGGGCTGGCAGGGGTCGCGACGAGCACGCTTCTACAATGACCCCCTGCTTTATTAACACTAATTTTATAAAAATTGAATCACAAATCACTAAAAATTATAAAAACAGACAATATTTTTTTACTTAAATGTTTCATAGACTAGTAAGCTATGTTTGGCTACTGTTCATGAGTTCTGGGTACCGGTGGAATATCAGTGTTGTGGTGAAATACTTAATACATAATGTTACCAAAACATAAGTACTCTAAATAAAACACAACAAACTTTTTTCTTAGCCGCCCTGCATTTACATTCGTGCGAAATGGAATTTTAACAGCTCTAAGCTCGCAGATATATTATGCGCACGGCTGATTTCTGGTTCTCGATAACAGCGCCACCTATCGCGTCCAAATGTGAATCTAAACCATTAAATACACAAAAAATCATCAAAATTGATCGAGCCATGTTTGACAGCAATTGACTTTTATATGTATATGGAGATTAATGATTTCAATTTTCATGAATGAAATTAGAATCAAATAATGTTTTTTTTAATATACATACCTGTACCTTTTGTTATAGCGCGATACTACACGAAGAAACATGAGTGGGTGGCTATTAATGGTGACATTGGAACAGTCGGTATTTCAAGCTACGCACAGGTCGGTGATCTGTTCTTATATAGTTTAAATTTATTGATGATATTATACGAGATATTGTTAGAGTCGGATCATATTATTTCGAAACACTGTGAGCGAAAAATTTCATTTTTTTTATAGATTAAGGGAACCGAGCACACAGTCCACTTGATGGTAACAAGCACACAGTCCACGAAATGGTGGTGAAATAGCAGTTTCATGTTGCTGTGCTTTATATGGAGAGTGCAAAGAACCGGATGCCTACCTGATAGAATGACCCATAAAGATAAATAGATAGATGTCTGCAGCAATCGTCAGCATTAAAATGCTATTTCATACTGTTATTATACTGTTATACAGTGAGAGTTTAGTCCTTCCCCGGTCGAACCGATTCATCCGTGTTGTAGTTAATAATAATGTGCTCCATGCCGAATTTCGGTGCATCTGCTCAGGACAGGATTAGTGCACGCACATATATCTGCAAGTACATGTGCACTCTCTATTCCCTTACTCTCATTATATAAAAAAGTGTCCGACAGACAAATAGAGAGACATCGAAGGGATTAAATAACAATAACGTTTGTTGGGTACTGGACACTAATAGGGTATTATACCCATTTTCAAAAATTGTTTTAAATGAATCCTAGAGTGATAATGAACCACTATATTTTTTGAAACCGAATAGTGCCATAAAAATTACTTTTAACCTATCGTTTTTAAATTTTCGCGTGAAAACGCTAGCCACCATATTGTATAACTCGTGACGTCACAGTCATCGTTTCTGCCGATTTCGCAAAGGAATAATATACTTTTTAATGTTTGATTATGAGCTATGATCTAAATATATATTGTTGTATTGTGCCTGAATGCAAAAATACAAGCATAAGAACGCCTGGAAAGTTATGGATTCAAGTGCTAACGTGAATACTGATACCCGAGTAAATTATATAGATAAAGAATATTAAAATTATATAGATAAAGAATAGATAAAGAATATTAAAATTATATAGATAAAGAATAGAAAGTAATTATATATATATAAATAAAGAAACCCGAATGTTGTATCAATTGATACAACATTCGGGTATCAGTTAACACTTGAATCCATTCACATTGCCTAAATAAACCAGACTATTCTTCCGTAAAGACATTACATCGATTCAACGAAAAAACACGAACATCATGAGGTGAAGGTTATCGTAAGTCAAATTTTGTAATAAATTACGTTAACTTAGATATTAAAACTAATGATTGCTAACGATTGTAATTATAGATAAACTAAACTATGATAGCTACTAAACTATGTTTTATCAAAATACATTCTCCCTGGTATTGTGTTTTTGTATAAAGAAAAGTTGGTAATAGGTACTTACATTGATGTTTTAACATTCCCTAACTCTGTAGAACAAAAATTGCGATTATTATTATTATTATTATTATTATATTTTGTACATATCTATATTCTCCCTATTAAAGAGGTAGCTTAAAACCTAATCACACGGGCCGAAGCCAAGCGTGAGCAGGTGCTAGCTGATGGTGTAAGCAGAAGTGACGGATGACGTGGTGAGGAATTTGCTTGTAAGTCGGCAGGTGTTGAGAATGACAGCTTTCTGCAGGGTGTGAAGTGTGTGTTGGGGTACTTGCAAAATATCTAGACTGCGTTGTAGGCTTTTAGGTATAACTCCGGTAGATGAGATAACTATTGGGACTATATGGATGGTTTCTGCTCTCCATTGACGCTTGAGTTCTATAGCTAAATCTTGATATTTTGTAAGTTTTTCAGCTATGGTGGATTGAATGTTATGGGTGTTTGGTATGGCAATGTCAATAAGGTAAGTAGTTTGGTTATTTTTGTCATACACTGTGATATCGGGTCTATTGAAGTGAATAGTTCTATCCGTGATAATGGTCCTGTCCCAGTAGATTCTATAATTATTGTTTTCCAATATGGTGTCCGGCTTATATTTGTAATATGGTGTCATTTTTTGTATGAATTTAAATTTAAGGGCAAGATATTGGACCCTGTATTATGGAGGCAACCTGGTCATGCCGATGCTTATAATCGGTTTGTGCAAGAGCTCTACAGGCGGATGTTATGTGTTGTATGTTTTCGGGGCTAGAGTGGCAATGTCTGCAAGTATCAGTGGGGAGGTTAGGTGCACGTATTATGTGTCTCTGGAAGTTTCGGGTATCGATGACCTGGTTCTGGATCGCTAACATGAATGCCTCCGTCTCTGGGAAGAGTTCACCGCGCCTCAGCCAGGCGTTCGACGCTTTTTTTGTCGACATGTGACAGCTGCAGGTCGTGGTAGTGTCTTCCGTGTAGGGACTTTTGTTGCCAGGAGGCCATCTTCTCTTTTACGTCAGTGATCCGTTCACTGCGTTGTGTGTTTCGGTCCGCGAGGTCAAGTGGTGTGAGGCGTTTGTCGGCTAAGGGTTACTATTTCGTGGAGAAGTGAGTGTTCTGAGCGTTGATGGAAATATTGTCGAAGGGATTTGAATTGTTTATTGTGCAAGTTGAGGACATCTATTATACCTCGTCCTCCCTCGGATCTTGAAAGAGTCATCCTTTGCACGCATGATCTAGGGTGGTGCTTGCGGTGAGTCGTTAGAGTGGTATTTATAATACGTTGCAGATTGATAAGGTCACCTTGAGTCCAGTTTATTATACCAAACGAGTATGTCAGTATGGGGATTGCGTAACTATTGATTGCTTTTGACATGTTGCGGGAGTTGAGTTGAGACCGGAATATACTATTGAGCCGATGTTTAAATTTATTTTTGAGACCTTCTTTCGTTTCCTTTTGATGGATCTGTCGCGCTTGTTGGAAACCTAAGTATTTATATGAGGCGTGGGGTTCTAGAGGTTCAATCGTGTCTCCTGTTACTAGGCTATAGCTGTTGGGGTTAATTTTTCCATTTTTAACCGAGAGAGTTTTGCACTTCTCAATCCCAAACTCCATATGAATGTCGTTTGAGAAAGATTGGGTGATGTCTGCGAGGCGATGCAATGACTGTGTAGTGTTACTGTATAGTTTTATGTCATCCATGTACATCAGGTGTGTTAGAGTGGTATGTTTGTGTGGTGTGATGATAGAGTAACCATAATTGGTTTTGTTCAGCATTTGCGAGAGAGGGTTTAATGCGAGACAGAACCATACAGGGCTAAGCGCATCCCCTTGGAAGATTCCTCGACGTATTGGAATTTCTGATGTTTCTATACAAGACGTTCCTATGGTTTTTAATGTAGTTGTCCAGTTCTGCATTGATTTTTCAAGAAAATGTATAAGTTGTGGGTGAATTTTATAGTGTTGAAGTACATGTAGGAGCCAGCTGTGCGGTACGGAGTCGAATGCTTTTCGGTAGTCTATATACATTGTATTGATGTTCTTCCTTTTAGAAATAGCGTGTTTCATTGCTACGGAGTCTATTATGAGTTGCTCTTTACACCCCTGACTACTTTTTCGACATCCTTTTTGTTCTTCAGTAAGGATGTTGTTTGTAGCTATATGTTGATGTAAGAGTTCGGCTATACATGCTGTAAGTAGTTTATAAATGGTTTGGAGGCATGTGATAGGTCTGAATTTGGCAGGATTTTGATGATCTGCGTCTTTCGGAATCATGTATGTGAGGCCTTGTGTAATGTATCGGGGCATTATGTCTGGCTTTTGTATAAAATCATTGATATGGTTATGAAGTAGAGGGTGAATTGTTGAAAGTTTCTTATACCAGTAGTTATGTATACGGTCACTTCCGGGTGCTTTCCAGCTATGGGTTTTTTTTAAAAAATGATATGGAAAATACATGGAAGACGAATTCGTAAAAGCAAAAAGTAATAATAATTATCATTATTATTACTTTTTGCTTTTACGAATTCGTCTTCCATGATGACTTTTCAATAAAATTCGTAATAAAACTCAATAATCATATGATAATATAAAATAACGTGCTGTGTTATATATAAAATTTCTAAATAACACAGCACGTTAGCTAGACAGAACACTAATATCCTTAGACTGATCAGTGACGTCACGACATGACTAATATGGCGGACACCGTTTTACAGATTTAAGGCACAGACGGAAAAAATATTATTAAAATATAAAATTTATAATGCAATATTATAAACAGAAATCAATATTTCTCGTTTACTTTTTACAAAATCTATCGTAAATTTATATTTTTTGATTTTATTTTACATGGTGTAAAATACCCTATTGGTAAAACCATAAAATTATTGAACCACTTCAGGTAAAATTATTAAAAAAAAATAATATTCCATAACTATCGCACAACGCCATCTAGTCCCAAGCTAAGCAGAGCTTGTGTTATGGGTACTAGACAACTGATAAACATACTTATATATTTCTAAATACATAAATATTATAGATAAAATTACACCCAGACACAGAACAAATGATCGTGCTCATCACGCAAACATTTGTCCTGGGTGGGAATCGAAACCACGACCTCCGGCTTAGCAGTCAGGGTCACTAACCACTAGACCAACAGGCCTGTCATATATCAATTAATAAAACATTAGGAGTGGTTCACGACATTATTCGAATGGTGGTTTCAAGCCTACTACGCTATACCATAGCGACTCGGTTACAGCAGGTTATAAAATAACAAATGATGTGTTTTACCTAGTTTGAAGAGTTAGAAGTGGTAAATTAAAAATGACTTCCAATAAGTACTATACATTAATCTATATTGAATAAAACTCATTCATTAATTCGTTACGCGGATCTCAGCATATCATTTTTGAAAATCTTTAATGTAATGGATTTCCACAAAGTAACGCCTGATTCTATTAAGTAAATAAATGCTTTAAATGATAATACTGACAGTGGCTCGTCAAGTCACTATCGTTAAACTGTTAGGCAGTAAAATATTATATGTCCTCACGATACGAGCGTGATTGCGGGGTCAGCAGCAACTAGAGTGGCCTCACCAACCTGACGTTAAGCGCTCTAGCCATTGTTATCTACGCCTTGTAACAAAGGCCGGGTCGCGTCCATACAGGTCTTTGATAAGATATTCTTTTAAATGGTGAACTCGTCATCAGCTCCTTATAAATCAGTCCTTCATTATCACCTAAATTACTGTAGAATAATTTGCCAACATACTGTATTATTCTGATACAATATGTAATTTCTTTTATACATAGTATAAGGGTGACAAGATAGCACACAGTCCACCTTATGGTAAATAGATGCTGTGGCCCATAGACATCTACATTTGTCCTGGATTAAGAATCAAAATGCACTTACGTTGTTACCCCTGAGGACTAAGATGGAACCCCTCGTTTATAGTAAAAAGGGTCTTAGGTTCTCTACACTCAACATACGAAACAGCAGCATTAAGCTGCTATTTTACGGTGGTTTTCCGTGGTACTACCCTGGTAGAACCGACCCATTCGTATTACAACCATAATATAGCTGCAGCGTGGCTCTACTACATATAAACTAGTCTCTTATGATGCAAATAGTAAGGAAAGCAAAAATAACGTGCAAGAAATGCTAGGCGCAAAAATAAAGTCTTAAAAACTAAACTTTTAACTTAACTAAACTTTTGCGATAAAAAGTAAAAACCAACTTCGAAGAACTGCCGAATTATTTCTTCTATTTATACAGTATGTATTATTTATACATACGGTATAAACAAAAGAATTAAAATTAAAGCCCCGATATAAAGTTTCAGCATATATGCGTCCCACTGCTGGGCACAGGCCTCCTCTCATTTCTGAGACGGTTTTAGGACAAGGAAATGTCCGCCGCGATGTCCCAATGCGTGTTGGCGAACATCACATGTCTTCAAACATTTTTTTTATTTCTCAGATATGCAGACGATGTTTTGTTCACCGCCGAGCACGTGGTAAATCAGCACTTAAAATTGCAATTAACAATTTCATTGGTGCCAGCGGGGAAAGGACCCGGATTGCTCGCGTACATCTGAGCTACCATAGCTCTCTGAGCTACCACGGTTCCCCCGTCCCTATATAGGAATGTACAATTATTATTTTTTTTAATTCTCTAAAGCCGGGTTTTAATTTTTAGTCCCAAAACTGTTTACGTATAAATTGAGAAATACATGAGTATGTTTCCTTTTTTACTTCTTATAATCCAACGAGGAATTTTAATTGTTTTATTATTGATTTCAGGATGCGTTAGGGGAGGTTGTATTTGTTCAGCTGCCCGATGTTGGGCGGGAGTTAACTACTGGCGAGGAATGTGGCGCCCTAGAGAGCGTAAAAGCTGCTAGCGAAGTCTACACGCCAGTATCCGGAACTGTAAGTAAAACTTTAAGTACATTACTGATACAATATCCATACGTGATCATACCGTTAACAGTGGGCTGTATTATATACATCTTGATATAACCAAAACCACCATCAACGTGCGAGTGTATAATCAATCTATATAAAACAAAAAAAAAATAAATGGCAGTATGCTATTACCACTTAGCCACCACGAAAAATATCTAAGTCGGCGATGGGAAACAGAGTCCATAGTTATAAGTCCGATACATTGTGAAAAATGACAAGTGCGAGTGGCCAGTGCAAATGATAAATGGCTGGTGCGTATTCTATTCACAATTATCACTTATTGTTATCACTGCCTGTTCACACGCACAAAACTTTTCATTTGTCAGTTGCACTTATCACTCGCACTTGTTACTTCTCAAAATGTAAACCGGGCCTTTCGTCAATTAGCCTGCAAAGCTTGAGGACAAAATCTCCCTACAACGACGCGGGGCCATGTTCACCAGAAGATTTCTACAGATTAATGAAGTCGAACAATAAAGCTAATATAATATATAAAGATAGTTGTAAAATTACAGTGAGTGAGACATTCCATCTCTTTTTTAGGGTTCCGTAGTCAACTAGGAACCCTTATAATTTCGCCATGTCTGTCTGTCCCTCGGTCCGTCCTCGCTTAATCTCTGTGACCGTTAGCACTAGAAAGCTGAAATTTGGTACCAATATGTGTATCAATCCCGCCCACAAAGTGGTAAAATAAAAATTGAAAAATATTTTATTAGGGTAGCCCCCCTATATGTAAAGTGGGAAGTGATTTTTTTTTAATTTCAACCCTAAAGTGTGATATATTGTTGGAAAGGTATTTAAAAATTAATAGGGTTTTACTAAAATCATTTTTTGATAATGTCAATAATTTCGGAAATAATCGCTCCAAAAGTAAAAAACACTGTGTCACCCCCCCTCTCTAACTTTTGAACCATAAGTTTAGAAAATGTGAAAAAAATCTGAAAAGTAGAACTTTATAAGGACTTTCTAGTAGAATCACTTTGAACTTGGATGGAAACAACAGTACCCACTATCGGGAGCAGTTGCAGGAGCGCGGAGCGCTGCTGGAGCGCGAACATAATGGATACCCACCTTTAAACATAAGTGGGAACACTTATTGTGACGGACGGGAAACTACGGAACCCTACACTGAGCGTGGCCCGACACGCTCTTGGCCGGTTTTTTTTAGGATAGGGTGACAAATGAGCACACAGTTCACCTGATGATGTGAAGTGAATTCTGTGGCCTATAGAAATCTAAATTTATCCTCGATTAAGAATCAAAACACAAATACGTTGTCACCAGTGAGGCCTAAGATGAAATGCCTCGTTTCCAGTAAAAAGAGTTTCCGGTTCTCTACAGTAAACTTACGAAACACAACAGCATGGAGCTGCTAATTTACGTTGGTATTCTGTGAGAGTTTGGTTCTACCCCAGTCGAGCTGACCCATTCGTGATATAACTATAATACATTTGTAGTGTTGTTCTGTAAAAAAGATGTATTTATGAAAATAATGAACATTTCAGGTGACAGAAAAGAATGACACAGCGGAATCCACCCCGTCATTGATAAATAAGTCGTGTTACGAAGATGGCTGGTTGTTTCGTCTAAAGCTTTCCAGTCCCGAAGAGTTGAAGCACCTTATGGACCAGGCTGCTTACGAGAAATACCTCGAAGAATCACATTGACAAAGAATGAAGCTATAGAAATAGCCAAGTGGAAGACGTAAAATTCATTGGTAGAAAACATACTAAATTGTCTTTGAAAATTAACCGCAATTATATTGAAATACTGTGGAAGAAGGCTGTGAAGTTGAACTGTTTTCATCGATCAGATCTGATTGGTTGTAACATATAATAATTAAAACCTATATATATTTTAATTATTATATGTTACAACCAATCAGTATATAATATATATTAATAATATTAATTTAAATAGCACACGATTATATACACACGATAACTTAACGATAATACGGTTAAGTTAAATCTTTTACGATAGAGACATAGATTATAGGTGCTACAAAGTAAATTAAGCGGGTTTTTTTATGTTTATTAGCTTTCAATTATATTTTCTTAGACGTTTTTTGTTATATTTTTGTAAATCGTAATTTGCAAAATAGAAAAATATTACTATCATCACTGTGGTCACTTTCGTTCAACGTGAAACCTAGTACCTGGGCGTTCTACGATTTTGGTGTGTTATTAATCTCCTTAAAACATTGTAAATAGCTAGAAAGTATGACTACGGTTTATGAATATTGATTTATTAATATAATAAATTATTTTAGTATTGAATAAATAAACTTTTCTAATGTGAACCGTACTGCCATACCGCTTTTATAGTAATTTTTTGTTCAATCCATTTCGTTTTTCTTTAGGTTATGTTGTTTTACGAAATATGTGTCAGTAAAAACTCTCTTTATGTACGAAAGTCCTCGCACTAAAATTTATGTACGTTTCACTGTAAAATAACTAGCTCAGTTAAAAATTATCGTGTCATAACCGTAAGTAAGATCCTTAAGTTCTTGTCATTTGAACGCATGGCTATTGTCTAATCTTGTAAATTTGATGAGAAAAATTTGGTTGTTCATATCAAATTACACCCTTTTTAATGTAGCTTTTTTTATTTTATTTTTTCATTATTTTCTTTAAAAATTATCTGACACCAGGATTTTGTTCTGTATTAAGGACGCAGTTCAACGTAAAACGCTCAACGTTCGTCAAACAAACGTCAAATGTTCGAAAAACGCTAATGTGTAAGAATATCCATATTGTTTCGTGGGTTTCGTAAGAGACAACTGGGGGAAAGTGAAATAGGAGATGGACAATAGCATAACGTTCCAAAAACTCAAAATAAAAAAGAAGTCTACGTTTTCCAACCCGCCTGCAAAGCGTGGCAACCATGGCAAAATCTCTATTTATAGACTGTAATTAATACATGGATGGATGGAGGCCCTTTACATACGTAATTTGCACAAGGAAAAATTGATCTGGGATAATTAGTAGGCCATACCATTACTCGTTTCGTCTCAGAACATCGTCTCATTCCCAACATACTGCATCTCAATCATTAATATAAAATAAATATTATGACAAAGTGAATAAATAATATCGGAAATGTTTGAAATAAATTTATTTCAAAGCGGCAGCACCAGATATAATTTCGATGAGCTCTCTGGTAATGACGGCCTGCCGGGTCCTGTTATACAGCAGCGACAAATTCCTGATCATGTCGGCAGCGTTTTTCGTGGCATTGTCCATAGCTGACATTCTGGCCGACTGTTCGGAAGCGGCGCCCTGCTTTAGTGCGTAATATAGCAAAGCTGCAAGTGTCCATTCAGCGTAACTCTCCAGCTGATCTTCTTCTATATCGTCGAAGGCATTTATGTTTGGCGCCATCTGTATGTAAACATCGATTTTTTTATTTAATATTATATTAGATTTCTATTACGAGACAGGTTACTAACCTGTCTCGGTTTCGCCTAGGTGAGATCAATTAATGTGGCGTTGATTAGATTTAAAAACTTTTTATTTAACTATTATTTGTTTTTTATTAATATCAAGTTTTTCGGATAACATATAGTCTGGATTGGTCCTGGTCTTGCTTGGTATTTGTTCCTGAAGTTTCATTATAATCGGTTCAGACATACAGAAGTGAAGAAGAAGAAGTGAGTACAAGGTAGAATATCTAGCATATACACCATACCTAGTAGTCGCCTAAATCGGGTAAGGACCACGATGTTACAGAATACCAGCGTAAAATAGAAGCTTAATGCTGCTGCGGTTTGAATGGTGAATGTAGACAATCTGTGACCCTTTTTACTGGAAACGAGGCATTTCATCTTAGTCCTCAGGGGTGACATCGGATCTGCATTTTTATTCTTATTCGAGGATAAATGTAAATATCTACAGGCCACAGCATTCACTTACCATCAGGTGGACTATGTGCTCGTTTTTCGCATTTAATCTATAGAAAGATGTATAGATTTTCTATATTCACACTAGGTTCACACTAGGCAGCACCATACGTTTCGCACATAACGCTGCTTTTCGTCGCCAGTCTGCGTAATTCAAATCTAACATCATCGGGAGTCATGAGATATTGCGAGCTTTCACCAATTTGATTCTTATGATATCACGGTTCTAGCATTATTATTTGAAAGCAAGAGAATTTTTTATGTGTCACTGCAACTTGACCTTTGTAACCATAGAACACTATAATACCACAAAAAATGCCACTAACACGTCAATTCACACATATTGTTACGCGCCTTAGTCGACGGCACTAGCGCCTAGTTGAAACTCGAACTCTCGGTACCTTGCGCGTGTTTACTTGAATATTCTGGATATTTCCGTGCTAATTTATATAAATAGGCGCTGCAAGATGCGATCGAGGAAGTATTGAATTCGGCGAGACAAGCGAAGCTTCGGAGCGAAATAAAGTGAATTAGTGTGATTAATTATTAGTGTTTTAAGTTTTAATTTGTGTAAAGAGAATTAAAGTGTTAATTTAGGTAATTTTATCGGCAATTTTTATTGTCACGAACCTCAAGCTCGTAACAATATCAATGTCAACTCGAGATGTGTTTTGACGTTACAATCGTTTCCAAATTTCGCATGCAAATTATTTAGAAAATGCTAAATTGTATGCTATGCTATTTACAAATCAATATGTATTAAAATTTAAACAATTTTTAATGATGATCTTGAACATTAATCAAAAGTCTAAAATGTGTAAATTTATTAAGTCTGCCAACACAGCGAATCGAGTTTGGCGACGCCAAGCCACGTACAAAATAAAGTTGACAGCCATTCTATAGTGTATTATAGTATTCTATGTTTGTAACACCGCAGTATCAAAATAATATCTTCTATATCGCATTATTTGTGAAAATTGCATCTGGGGGCTTAGCACATACAATTATAAATACACGAGCTATTCCTCACACCACCGCCACCACTGTAATTGTAGATTACAACTTTAAGTGCTAGTGGGTAAATAAAAACAAAAATCTAATTTTAAGACATTCCTTTCAGGCAGCTAATTTTTTATAGTATCATCTAGTTTTTATAGTATCTCATAAAATGTGCGACCTGTGCCTGGTGCAACTCTTTTGCAATATTTTCATTGTTTATAATGAAAACCGTAGCATATACCAGGTATAGTAGGCGCATAAAGTTTTATTCTACGGTCGTCAACTATCAACTCAATATAATAAAAATTTACCTCAATACCGTATTTGTTGAAGACAGGTAAGGTAGTAATTTCGTACTTAACAGGGCTATGGTACTTGTTGTAATAGATTTCAGCCATGTCGTAAGGAAATCCGGATTCGGCAATAGCATTAGCTACAGTAGAAGCATCCTTGAATACTGGACTTACGCGACCAATCTAAAGCAAAAAGTTTGAAACTAATTGACGATTTTGTTTACTTTTTAACTTATTATTAATTTATAATTTAAAAAAAAACATTTATCTTTAGGTAGTAGAATTTGTTACTTCTATCATGTTTTAAGTAGTAAAAATGCTAAAATGTATTTATAAAAATAGCATAGAAAGAGCTTGCGTGGAAATTTCGATTAAAAAATGCAAGGGAGCCACCAGTATTTTTATATTTAATGATTCTTACTTTGCTTCCTAACTATACTTTTAAATGTATATTTTTTATAGGCAAAAGGGTGACAAGCGAGCACACAGTCCACCTATTGGTAAGTGAGTGCTGTGGCTCATAGACATCTACACCTATCCTCGTTTGCGAATCAAAATGCAGATGCGTTGTCAGGCTTTAGGACTAAGATGGAATGCCTCTTTTCCAGTAAAAAGGGTCTCCGGTTCTCTACACTCACCATACTAAACACAGCAGCATTAGGTACGCTGCTATTTGACGCTGTTATTCTGTGATAGCGTGGTCCTTCCCCGATCAAGCTGACCCATTCGTGCTACAATTATACAATTAATATAGCTGTAGCATGGCTCTACCACGTAAATAAAATCTTATTTGCTCGATAGGCTGTAATTTTGCTGCTTGATAGGCTGTAATTTTAACTTTTAAAAGTTTCAAGTGCTGATTTTTTAAAAAAAAACAACGCGGCAAAACCCACACGTCTGAAAAATTGAAAAAAATATATGTTTCCGAATTCAAGTGAAGTCCCCTAATACAAATTGGGGCAGCGCGGCGGACATTATCTTTCTCTAAATCCCATTAGAAATGATAGGAGGCCTATGCCCAGCAGTGACACGTATACATACTGTGACTTTTTAATCAGGTTTATTATTATCTACTAACCTGTTTCACAGACAGTAGCATATGTTCGGAGTGGGTTGACCTGAGCATCGACCGTGCTTTGTCGCCGATACAAACCAGCTTGTTGGTTTGCGCTTCCGCATTGCGATCCGTTAATGTGCGTCGAATTCGGCGCGCCAAACCACTATGAACGCCGCCGCACAGACCTGGTAAAACGCGAATGAGAGACATTAAAAATAAATATTTTACAATAACAGATCGCGTTCTAAAGGCAATTTTGTTTGTTATTTTAGTAAGCATTAAAAGAATATAGTGTATAGAATAGACAGCGAGGAAATATAGGTTGAAATATATCTCATTATTGGTTTTGTCATTATAGCCTATGAAAAGTCTCGCTGTCGGACCATAGGCTTTCTCCATATATTAATTACCTTATGGTATATTTGCCGCAGTTGCCATACTCGGAGGGCATATTGTTAACCGCAATGTTTTATTTTAAGATAAGTTTTACATCCCTCTGTCTCCTATTTCGAACCTCAAGGGATTATATGGAGAAGTGAATAAATACTCTTCACATCATCATCGGAAAATACTTCATTGCAAGATAATCTTTATGCAACATACTGGCGGCTTCTAATTTTCCATGACTAAAAAAGGTTCATTGAAAATGATACACTTGGTGCACACTATATAAAATATATATTAGGTACTAAAATAATACTAAACTAAAATATACATGTTAGTTATAATATTATAGTGATGTATACTTTTTACATGGTTATGTACCTATATGTACCTTATAAACACATCAACAGAATCTAGTCCTAAATTGTGTACGACTTTACAGCTTAAAATATTTTTAGTTTCCATAAAAAGTTTATATGTCTCTTTTATTCTATTTTCAAAATTTAAAAATGTAAATTAAAAAAAAAACAAAGTAAAAGAAAAACAAAATACGGCGGCATAATTGTTAGTAATTCGTTTTGTCAAGGAAAATTAAAATTGTTCTACTGATTAATGAAAAGGGATTAATCCAATCCGTTTTTATATTTTATTTAACGTGCTATAACGTTGTCATTTGAGTAGATATGAAATATTACGAGCGTTGAGTATGTTAGAAAATGGTGTTATTCAACCCCTCGTTGCTATGGCCCTACACACCAGCCAAAACGTGATATCAAGGTTGGCACGTTATCGCAGTACTGGGGATGTGGCTGAACGTCACGCGGGTAGATATCGTGTTACTATGCAGAGACATGATCGATTTCTCCAAAGGACCGCCAGAAGACAACCCAATATCATAGCAATGCAACTACTAATGAGGTTCCAGAAGAACCGCCAGCAGCTGGTAAGCTACCAAACAAAAACACCATAAAAGCGACCAGAGGTTGCATGAAGTTGGTATTCATGTTCAGAGACTGCTACGTGTTCCAGCATTGCGACGTGGCAATAGCGGTCGGCGGCTTTCGAGGGCTCGGGAGCATTTACCATGGAGTGACGAACAATGATCTTTGGTGCCGTTCACCGATGAGATCCGAATTCACGAAGTACACGCGTTTTAAGAACTCCTGGGCACCCTCAGGATGTTCACTCATAACAAGGCGAGACAATCATGGTGTGGGCAGGAATTCGCCTTGTCAGACGAATCCAGCTCGTTTGGATCCAAGGCAGCATGACTGCACAAAAAACACTACGAAGAGCTAGTAGAGCCGGTTATTGTCCCACACAGAATCCAAATAGGCCAGGAATTTCTACTCATGAACGATAATGATCCTTCCCATTCGGTGCGGCTGGTGGCGGCCGTTCTCAGAGACCACGATATTAAGTTTTGGATTGGCCTGCACAGTCGCTTAAATCCTATCGAGCATACTTCGAACACGCCAAATTTGACAACGAAACATCAACTTTACGAACACTTGCAAAGAACTTGGGACTTCATACCGCAGTAAGACATTAACAATTTAATTTTAAGTATGAACAATCAATTTCGGTGTGTAGTTAATGTTAACAGGTGGCAATAGTTTATTATTTTAAATTTCAATTAAAATTAATAGTTATTTAAAACAAAAATAATACGAAATGTTTTTTAGTATTTATTAAAGACCTCAAAATAACCTATCATCCTTCCATTTACTATATCAGAAAATTCTTCATAGCTTTTTACATATTCGATGAAATATAAAATATCCCTAGATTATGTTGATATGTTTAATATTACTATATAAAAAGAATCTAATTTTATAGATAACGAGCCTCGGTGCACTGTTCTGGAAATGGCGAAGCGAATATGGCAGGAGGTTGGGACTTGAGATTCACCTATTAGATTGGCCAGCGTAAAGTACCAAAGTCAATCATTTTAATCATATGTGGGGCGTATTAAAAAGGTGCGTAAAATCGGCACAATTAGATCGAAAAAACATCATATAATTTGCGAGTGTGTTCATCAAGATACGATATGAAAACGTCATTCTAAGCAAGCGCAGAAGGGTACGCAGAGAAAAACATCGCACAATTTGGATTCATGTCAAATTTTATTGTAACGTATCAAACTGGTTATTCTGTTTTTATCGCGTTCATAATCAACAGATCGACTTAATATTACGTAGCCTATATTTTAGATTAGTAATAATAGTGATCCCAATTCTTATTAGATTTGGGAAATTAAATATTTTAAAATGATGTAATGAAACTTCGATATAATTTGAGAACCTGCAGTACAAATTTACTTAAATAGGAGGAGCTGCTATTTAATTTTGATAAATTTGGTTTCCTAAATATTTTAAAAATTTTAACAACGGCTAATACGATCATCAACATCATCATTTTAAAAATTTACAAGCCCACAGCTGAACATAGGCCTCCCAAAGGAATGTTACAAAACACGGTCCAGAGATACCTGTATTCATCACTTATTGCATTTTTTATCAGATCGTCACTCCATCTCGTAAGGGGCCACCCCAAACTTCGCCTACGGGTACGAGGCTGCCACTCGAGAACTATTCTTCTCCATCTGTTGTCGGTTTTCCGAGCTATATGATCGGCCCATGGTTCCTTATGCTTACTAATGCGTCCTAAAACACCACCAACCCCTGAATGAGAATTTCTGGACATAAGAATCCAATAACTGATTTTGATCCAAACTGTGATTCGAACATAGGACCACGTGGTCTGCAATCGCGTTTATGACCACCAGAGCAATTAGACAGCAAATGGTTGCTAATATTTTTGTTTAATGACTTGGGTAACAATATTTAGAGTGACAACGTAACAACTTATTCAAGCCTTAAGAGTAGCGCTGCCATAACTTCCTGTAACCAATACGGGACATCTAAAACTTTCGATGCCCAAAGCTCATTAACATATTTCAACCAAATCATGCATGTATACCGTATCCTTTCCAGTCCAGTAGCTTGAAAACCTCTTCCAATGCAGCGGTGAAGAGTTTCGGGGAAATAACGTCACCCTGTCTTACACCTCTCTGCAGTTGGATGGGTTTCAAACTCTGGTTCTGTACTCAGATAGCCATCGTAGCCCTACTGTATAAACACTTCAGCACTTCGATATACCGACAGTCAACTTGGCACCGCTGAAGAGACTGTAGCACCGCCCAAATTTCAACAGAATCAAAGGCTTCATAATCTATATACGCCAGGCAAAGTGCCAGTGTTTTAACTCTTCGGTCTTCTGTACAATCTGCCGCAGGGTATGTGTGTGGTCTATGGTACTGTAGCCTTTTCGGAAACTGGATTGTTCGATTGAGGCTGGAAGTCGTCGAGTCTGCGTGCGAGACGATTCGTAATGACTCTCGAAAACAGCAGGTAGACGCGGCTCAGAAGGAAAATCGGTTAGTAGTTCTTCAAGAGAGCGTTGTCGCCTTTCTTGAAGAACAAGACCACCGCACTTCTACTCTACGCCTCCGGAGTAGTACTACCATGGAGGACAGAATTGAAGAGCTTCTGAAGGGCTTTAAGTAACGGTGTTCCACCCGCTTTCAGAAGCTCCGCTGTAATTCCATCCTCGTCTGGGGCCTTGCCGTTTTTAAGTTGCTGGAGGGCCACTCTAATCTCGCTCGTACTGACGTCCGGGATTTCATCGGAATAATCATAGTAAAAGAAAATTAAATTAACATAATTTCTTCACACAATTATTATTTGAGGTTGATTTTAGTTTTATAATGATTTTGTTTTATTTTTAACACAATCATAGAACTTGGCGTATATCATTTTGAAATTATAATGACAAATAAATGTGAAATCAATGGTCTCTATCGACAACTTGATTCATTCATCGTCCCTTAAGCCACCATCAACAAAAATATTCTAACTACATTTGCGTTGTGGACAAGAATTATTTAGGTTAGCGTCTGGAAAGCGAGCCGTGCGTAAGCGCCGAACAAATGCCCCCTCAACTTCCGCAGGCCACCTGCGCCGCTTAACTCGGGCCATTTCCGTATTTTGTGGAAATTATAGAAAAACGGGACAAATACGGAACGGTGACAGTCCCCTAATGCGTACTAAGAGGATCTTAGTAGTCTGTGGTCCCGTATATACGAGACGTATGGTAACTCTATCTTAGAAAGATACTGAATAAGCTAATAAATGTTTCCCAACAAAATAGTTAAATAGAGTGTCGGATTGCCCTCAATATCCGCGTCTTTCATTCCATAACGAAACTAATCTCGCCTCGATTTTCCTGTCTATACTCGAATAATAAATTGGCGCAAAAAGCTGATAGTGTTGTCATGACTCCCCTTTTAATTAAATTAAAATAAAAAAAACCCAATAAAAAATTGAAATATTAAACACTGCTATATAAACTTCAAAGTATGTAACTGATGTCTTTCATATTCAGAGAAATTTTGTGTTTATAATTTCTATCATTGACAATTGTGTAATCTATACCTTTAAACGAGCAATTCATATATATATATATATATATATATATATATATATATATATATATATATATATATATATATATATATATATAATTCGGAAACGGCTCCAACGATTTTCATAAAATTTAGTGTCCAGGGAGTTTAGAAAATATCTTTTTTGTCCGTGTTTTTAGACAATGAAAAACTGCTACAATATCGTTGGAATAAGAAGGTAAATTTTGACAGTTTATTAATGATTACGAATAGCTTAATTGATATATTGGGCGGTCACAAAATCGTAATACCATGGTTCGAGCTCAGACCGACCGACTTTTTTTAATTTTCTTTTTCAAGT